AATTTAGGGAATTCATCTTTAAGGCACCTGCCTCCAACCCACTTGTCATACCAAAACTTGATTATACTCCCATTGCTAGCCTTTATCTGATACTTCTCCACAAAGAACTCTACAAGAGGTTGATTATGACTAGCAATTGCAAGAACATCTCCCCAGATTCTAGAAAATCTAGCTAATGAGTTTAAAGGTGGGAGTCAATGAACCGCCTCAATCATATACTTGCTGCACAACATTCTTTTCCAAAGTGCATTTACTTCACTTCCAAAATTTGTCACAATGGTAAACAATTTTAGACTTGGATATGCCTCAGAACAAAAGTATCTGTTACTTCAACACAAATAAAATATATTACTAATATGATTTCACTTTAGATCAACAATAAAAGACAAAAAATTGTAATTGTATATGGCCTATATAGTAATTCTTCGTCCATAAATATATTTTATATGATAAATATATAAAATTATACATTTTGTGTCTTCATTTATGGTGTTTTAAAAAAAAAATTATTATTGATGAGTTCGTGTGGTATCATGTGTGAATAGAGACAGAGCTAAAATTTTATTAGTATTGAGTTTTTTTTTTTTTGGGTAATTAATTAGTATTGAGCTCAAAAGGAAGTAGGGGTGATAAATGAGTTGAACAAACTCAAGCTTGGTTCGTTAAATTTCTAAGCCAATCTCAAATGAATTTTTGTCGAGCTCAGCTCGAGTAGTTTGAAATTTTTATATAGTTTTAAACTTATTGAATCGATTCGAACGAACAATTAACTGCTCAAATTTAATTTGAAAACTATACCAAACTTAAAAATATATTCAAGATTAATTTTTTTACTTAATAGATGAAGCTCAAATGAACATTTGATAAGCCAAATCACCTATTTGAAAGATGGTTAACAAAGGCAAACACCAGTCGACACTTGGTTAAGCATGGTGGATAAGGCCTTTTTCTTATGTGACATAATGTCAAATTTGTATTTCACTTAATCGCAAGGCTAGAATTTTTTCAGACTATAAAAAAATAAAGCCTTAGCCATGAGCCTTTAGATAATTTGGGGTTTTGAGAAGCAAATTTTAAGAATTAATATAAATTGCCCTACTCATATTCTCGTTTATAAATTGTAAAAAAGAAAAAGAAAACAATATATATTAAAAAGGAGGTTGATTTCCTTCGAGTCCATACTACAGACCATTGTTTGGGCCCGTATGGTCTATCATAAGTTCCGTTTGATGATCCAAACTATTTATTTCATCGGACAATTCATATATTTTATTCACAAAAGAATCAAGTCAATCTCATAATTATAACCTACTCAATTTAATGTGTTTGTCACCAAAAAATTAGATGATAATTATGTTTTTAAAAATTAACCATTTATTTATTTTTATTTTTTTGTAACAAACACAATAAATTAAATAAGTCACAATTATTGAATCGACCTAATTATTTATTTATTTATTTTTGATCAGCAAAAGAAACTTTATTGATGAAATATACAAAGTATGATAATTTACATCAACAAAGAGGGGCTAGGAGCTAACAGAAGCTCGAAGCTCCTAGCTAGTGAGAAACCAGCAAAGAGCAAAAGCTTTTTTATGTGAATGAAGTATATGAAATGTCTAATAAAATAAATAGTTTAAATCATAAAAAAAATCGATAATAGGCCCCGCAGACCCAAGCAGCTTCCTCCCGGCCAAATTATGGACCGGTAGAAATCAACCCCATTAAAAAAAAGGTGGTAAGTTAGTTTCATGTTGTGACTCCAACATTTTTTTTTTTTTTTATCGGCAAAATAAATCTTTATTGATGGAAGCATACAAAGAAGATATCTTCGAAAGGAGAATGTAATTCAACTAGTTGAACCTCTAGAATTACGGTAGTGTTACATACACTAATTAGTGTACTAAACACTAGTTATTATTATTGATTTCACTCATTAATTACATTATAAATTCTAAAAACATCTTAAATTATGCAACATCATCAATTGATATACTAATTAGTATACTAATTGGTACATATAATATTATTCTTAGAATTATGGATAAACATTGAACGCCTGGTTATGTTTATTTATTTACTAACATACTAACATTCTAATTACGTGGCCAAACAGGGAAAAGGCCATTAAAAGGTTTCGAGCTTCCAAATTTAATAATTTTTTTGGTTAAAACACTAATTTTTAAGGATTCAAGCTTCCGATTACACTTCCAACACACAAAATAGTCTTACACACCAACGATAATTAAAATAAAATAAAAAACATTTGAAACAAAGTACTTAGCATGAAGAGAAAACATTGCTTGGGAGTTTTCACATAATATTGCAATTGCTAATGGCATGTGCACACGCATTGATAGCTCCCTGAACAAATCTGTGTAGATGGATCAATGGATTCTGCAAAATATAATCACATGTACAAGCATTATATCAACATATGACGTTCTAAGCAAAATTAAAATCAGATCATAAATTGATGAGCTAAATGAAATTTTAATTATAGATGCCCGTTCTGTAGCATAGAATCTGCACCTTCAGGGAAAAAATAGTTCATACAATCATTGCCAATAAAGAGTTTGGAATATGAACGACTGGGAAAGAAACGAAGAGGTAGGTTGCCATATATGGCTTCTTTGTTCCCATGCATTTCTAGCTGCATGATCTTATCTTGATATTCTCATTTTTTTTTTCAATATTCACGTCATACCGTAAAATTATCAGCACACTAAGACAAAGAAACTAAGATATTTAATGGGTGTTTGGCAAAAATGCATAAGAGACTCCGAGCATTAAAAGTCGTTTTAAAGATTTAATGGTCATTTAATGAATTTGTGTACACGGCCTTTTCTAAAAAGTGCTTGCTTCTAAAAGTCCGTTCAGTGGAAGTTTCATTAGATGGCTTTCTCAATAATTTCTCGTGAAGTCTGATACACATATAAGTCAAAAAAAAATTTAGGTAAACTTCACTTTGCCCTATAATTTGGGTTATATGCGATTTATCCTCCTAATATTTGGAAATGACACATAATTCGCACGTGATTTGTGAACTGAAATGCATCGTTAAATCACATTAAACATTTCGTTAAATTTATCAGTAAATATAAAAAAGTGGTAAATATAAAATAAAATACAGGGGGTTAAAGTGAATTTTGCTATCCCAACCAACAAATGATAAAAAATAAGGGTGTTTTAGTCTTTTTTTTTAGTAAATCGTTAATGGTCATAACAATGCATTTCAGTTCACAAATCACAAAGAAACTATGTGACCATTTCTGAATATTATACAGTAAACAACACATGGTCCAAACAATAAAGGATAAAGTAAAATTTGTCCAAAATTTTAAATGATGATGTTGTCCCTGTAATACTGACCTCCCATTGTTATTAATTTCCATTACTTCAAACTTCTTGAGAAATTAAAAAATGAAATGTGCACTTATCAAATATAATTTTATATCAAAAGGGCTTCTCTACAAAAGTATTTTTGTGGAGAAGTTATCCCAAACAAGTTCTTAATATATAAAAATTAGAAAAATACTGACAATATTTAAAAATTCATTTGACACATTTTTTTTAGTTAATTTTTTTAACACTTACCAAAAGTCTCACCGTATGACTCAATGAATATTAAGGTTACCAACAGAAAAGCTAATTACAAAATCAAACATAAAATATGTGCAGAAGAACAAGATTTTTTAAAAGTAAAATCTCACGAAAAAATCTCATAAAACGTTATTCCTTCATATTTATTATCTATCTAATTTTGTGATTAGTTTTAATGTTTGTAACACGTACTCCATAGACTTCCTTGAAAACCGTATATAATCAGATTCCTCTTGTAGGCACAAAAATATAAATAAAATAAACACTAAGAAAAGATTCTCTTTAATTGTGTTATTATTATTATTTTTTTCATTTCAAAAATTGTTTGGCAATCTGTTTGTGGAACAATACACTTCCAAGAAAACATAGAAAGTTACTTTTGAATTTTAGAAAACTATTTCATACAAAAATAAAAAAGAAGTGTTTTCAAATGTTCAACTGTTTTTGTTTCTGAAAAAATAAATAAATAAATAAATAAAATAAAATAACCACAACCAAACAAACTTAAGAAATCATACCCACAACAAGTACAGCTTTATTTTTAAATTGTTCAAGGTATGAATAATATGATAGAAATCTTTCTATACAAAGGAAAATTACCAGAGGAATGACTAACCTGTTCAGGGTTAAATGGAACCATTGCATTGGATGTATTGTTGGATGGAGAAGCTGATTGTTGAATTTCAGTAAAGGTAACTGTAGAGCTTGGCTGCAATATAAAACAAACAAACACTAGTATATAAGAAAAAGTCTAGGGCACAGAAGATTCCGAATACAAAATGTACAAATGTGAGAAAAAAATTAACAATGCAAACATGTTCACAACTCCAAATAGAAATACATACATATATATATATATATTTGTATCTCAAGTTTAAATGCGACCATCTTCCAACAAAGCCAAGGTACGTAATGGGACAGACTTAAATGCAGTGAACCATAGGCCCTGTAATAATTAATGATTATTTCTTATTAAAAAAACGTTATTAATTATAACACTTTTCATTTTGTTAAAAAAATGGAAAGTGTTAGAATTTATCTCCACCTATCACCTCCACTATCACATACTCCACACCTACCACCTCCACTATCACACACTCCACCTACCACCTCCACTTCACTCCTACACCTACTACCACATTTTCTTCTATATATAGGAATTGTAAATATATCAATCAATCAATCAATAATACAATTCTCTATTTTTTTTATACATTGTATTTTCACATGGTATCAGAGCTATAAGATTTGAACCTGTTTTTTTTTTTCACCGGCAGGCAGTCGGCCGGCAACCTTGCCTTCACTGCCCGCTGGAATTTTTCACACATACCTTGAAATTTTCTGTTTCTCTCTCTCTCCACAGATCACATCTTTGACTCGATCTCCATACATCAATAATGGCGATCGACGACGAGTTCGAAGCCCAAGTCATCATCTTCGATCCACCTTCCAACATTCTCGTCCTTCAAGAGGGTAAATCTGGATCTGGACAGCTTCAAAACATAAGGCTATTGAAAGCCAACTACATAGAAAGCTTCAAGTACTTGGGTCAAGTCGAGGACCCTCTTGATCCCAAAAAATTTAATCTTGATCTCAATTCCCTCCAATCTCGTGAAGACTCCGCCATTAGACAGGCAGAGAGAAAAGTAGAGAGGATTGGGGTGGGTGTTACTGCTGAAGCACAAAGCATTTTTGATGCACTGTCTAAGACACTTCCAGTGCGCTGGGACAAGACTGCCATAATTGTGCTGAATGACGTGCGTGTTTGCAGTCCATATCTCCCCGAATCTGTTACTGGAGGAACTCTCGCTGCCAATGACCGTGTGCGGAAAATGGTTGCTTGAGCGTCGGCGACCGGAGAACCCCGTCGAAGTCGTCTCCATGCGAGATGACAGTTTCTTCAATGGAAGACACAGGGCATTCTCTCTCTCTTTGAGGAGGGCACCCACTCAATCTCTCACTCTCTTTGAGGAGGGCAAACCCATTCTTCTTTTATTTATTTAATCACACCCTTGATGTCTTCACCTTTCTTTTCTTTATCTTTTTCAGATACGCACTTATCATGTTTTGTTTTAGATTCCACCACTACTCACACACTTTCTCTCTCCCTCTCAATAGACCTATGCACATGGGCACACACTCCACACACAACTTAGATACACCCTTATCTCTGTTGATCCCACTTTTCCCCATTTTATTTCTTTTCTTTTATTTTATTTTATTTCTTTATTTATTTTATTTATTTATTTATTCCTTCAAAAATAAAAAAAAATAAAAATAAAAATAAAAAATAACATACAAACAAAAACTTTTATTCATGTCGGGGCTCCCCCGATCACCATTTTACACCAAAAAACAAAAAAAAAAACGAAAAAAACAAAAAAAAAACAACAACAACAACAACAACCAACAACAAAAGATTTGTTTTCTTTTCTGCAGATGGCCACCCACTGACCTCACTTCCACTACTCTGCCGCCGGTCTCTTCTTCTTGCCTCCGTCCTGGGCGGTCCTTGACGGTGTTGCCTCTGTGTTTCCCACTCCACTGGGCGTGATCAGTACTCCCTGCTCCTCCACTGCAGCATATGGCGGCCCTCCAAATCGGAACATCACGGTGGCCTTCCGCTTCAGCTCCTTGTTTTCTGCCCTTAGCACGCTTATCTCTGCTCGCGCATCCTTATACATGCGTTGGAGCAGAGCCAACTGGGAGTTTAATTGCTGCACCTCATTTGTCCTACTCTGCAGCCGGTTCGACAAATTGCATCGGAAAGTTCAACGGAGCAAACCCAGAGGTGTTTGGTTGAGGTTCACGGGACACCGCACCAGTTATCTCTCTTGTGGACTCGTTGAGGTCGGGAAAGAGAGTAAGCAGAGGGCGGGACGAAGAGGCCATTTTCTGGGCAACAGAGTGTTCCAGAATATTACAGAGTTTCTCTCTCAGAACACGAATCTCTCAGAACACGAAGACTTTTTCAGGGGTTTCTCTCAGTTTTTCTGTCTCAGCTTCTGCCTCAGCCTCAGCCTCCGTCTTGGTTAAATAGCCGAGGGAGCCACGCGTATCGCGCGCCACTTGACGCCAGACGACAAACGGGCGCGCCAGCCAAGGCACTCACGTGCGCCTCGCCATCATTTTGGCACGCCTTTTGATGCATCGGGCACGCCTTTTGATGGCACGCCTTTTGACAGATTGGGCACACCTTTTGAGGGCACAACTTTTAAGGGCTCGATATCTACATCCACGTATATTTTTTGGGCAGCCTATATACACACTCATACAGTGTCTTCTACACCGGTCAGCTTTATCAATCCCTTTGTTTCAACCTCAAATAGGTTTCTATCTTCACACCTATTTGAGTTTGAGGGGCGGTTATACACAGTATCCTGTATAAGTCGCTCATGGCGCACTCCCTAAGTCGCTCCCTTGGTGCACCACCACAACCTCTGTTACACCGGTCCGACATGACCCTATAAACTGTCTTCTACAGCGGTCTGACACGACCACACAGTGTCTGCTACAACGGTCCGACATGACCCCGTAAACTGTCCCGATATTGATTCCGGTCAGCTTCTACAACGGTCCGACATGACCTCGTAAATTGTCCAGGGGAAATTTTATTCGCACACCATCGAAAATTTTAATACACAACATTTATGTTGTTTGGAAGATATAAATTTGTTAGAATTTATCTCCACCTACCACCTCCACTATCACACACTCCACACCTACCACCTCCACTATCACACACTCCACCTACCACCTCCACTTCACTTCTACACCTACTACCACATTTTCTTCTATATATAGGAATTGTAAATATATCAATCAATCAATCAATAATACAATTCTCTATTTTTTTTATACATTGCATTTTCACATGGTATCAGAGCTATAAGATTTGAACCTGTATTTTTTTTTTCTCACCGGCGGGCAGCCGGCCGGCAACGATGCCTTCGCTGCCCGCTGGAATTTTTCAAAGGATGGCAGAGACGATCTGGCAAAGAGGGAGGGCTGGTCACTATTTTTGTGGATAACATTCCTGAATCCATGGACCCCAAAGGGTTATTTAGCCTATTCTACAAGTTCGGCATAGTTAAGGATGTGTTCATCCCAGGGAAGAGAAGGAAAGCAACTAGATCTCGATTTGGGTTCGTCAGATACGACTGTGAAGTGGCGGTAGATATGGCGATCCAGAAAGCCGATGGACTGTGGTGTGATAACAAGGCATTAACGGTTAAAAGGGCAGAGTACCAAAAACCCCAAACTCTCGGTCCAATGGAGCAAAGGGGCCCATACAGAGGTGAAGATGGTTCGAGGATTCTGCAGAGGACGTATTCGCAACAAGGGACACATCACGGTGGCAAGAAGACTTATGCAGAAGCGTTGGTTAGTGCTGGCTCAACTGACAAGGATAAGGTGGTAATCAAGGCCGAGGAGGAAGGTAATGGATGGCTGTATGAAAGTCTAGTTGTGAAATTGAGCAGTTTTCTAGCTTTTAAGGATTTCAGATCAGAGTTGTGTATCAAAGGGTTGACAAATGTGGTTGCTAGGGAATGTGGAGGTAACTTAGTGCTCCTAACATTTAGCTCCGTCCAGCATAAGAAGGAAGGGAAGGATCAGTTGGACGACTGGGGTCAGAAGTGGTGCGACTCAGTTGCAGAATGGGAGGAGGGTCAATTTGTAGAGCAGGAGAGGTGTGTATGGTTACACTGCTTTGGCATACCAATTAACCTTTGGAGTGTCACAACCTTTCGCAGTGTAGCTAGCCATTGGGGTTCGGTGGTTCAATTTCAGGAAGATATAATTAATCCTAGCACCTTCCATCAAGGAAGAGTTCGAGTGTTCACGAGGTGCATGGAGTTGATCAACACAACCGTTTATCTAGAATGCAGAGGTAAGCTATTTCCGGTGAGAGTTTGTGAGGAAATTCCATGGTGTTTATGTCAAAACAATAGCATTAGCACGAGCAAGAACCATATTCAGATTCATACCAGCAACAGAGAAGAGGTTGACCAACTGTCTGGTAATGGTGGGTGTAGAAGAAATACTAAGCAAGCTTCTTTAGGAAGGGTGGAAGATATGGAGGGAGGCTCGGATGGATTAAGCAGGGTGATGGAGACAATGCCAGCCAGATTAGAGGGGTTAGGCAGGGGAAATGATGGTAAGCATGCAATAGCCGCAGGTGCAACTCAGGGATGCATGGGGAATGGCAATTCAGGTGCACTTTCCAACGAGGGCAGTCTAATTCAGCAAGTCAACACAAAGGTGGTAATGATGAATGAGATTCAAAATCTTAATGGGGATACAGGCACTTATGGGCCAACAAAAGACGTCCATGGTCCAGAAGGGGACAGACCACACATTAATCTGGAGGTTTTTCTTAAGGGAGGGCAGATTGGGCCCCAGCTTTGTGGATCAAATAATCAAGTGGGCCCAAACTTGGGTGATAGTGTGGACCAATTCAGTCTTAGGCCCAATCTGATTCAATCCATTCAAACGAAATTGGGTAAGAGGGTTGATGGCAGCAGTAAAGGGATGAATGTTACAACACACAAAGCCCACCATCCTTGGAAGAAAGGCCCCATTGCAAAGAGTGGCAGCCGTGTAGTTGGCAGTATTAGCAGACAGAAAGGTGTGGTCCGAAGTATGGGATTTTCAAGAGGTGCTCTCTTCAGAAATTCTGCAGCAGTCGTGGCTTCATCTTTATCATCTTCATCCCAGAATGCTGCGCGAATTACAAGGAGAAATTTGGTAGAAGAGGCTAAGAAAACTCTGAAGGTAGGAAGTATACTGGGGCTGCAGTTCCATGGCCAAGAAGATGAGGTTGTGAGCAAGTTAGTGGAACTAGAAGAGAAGGATGTGGAAAGAGCAGCAGGTGCTGAAAGGGCAAGCAGAAATTAGCAGTCTAACAATGGGGGAATTGGGTGCGACATGCATGTGTTATTATGAAGATTTTATCTTGGAATGTGAGAGGGCTGAGAAGGCCAGAAAAAAGGGGGAAAAACAGAAATTTGGTGAAGTGACAGGAAGGTAGATGTCTTTGCTTAACTGCAAGAAACTAAAAGTAAGTTGTGGATAAATTTTTTGTAAAAACCATTGGCCATATGAGGAGATAGGATTTTTGGGGGTGGAATCCAGAAGACCGTGCTGGTGGTGCTTTTGTGCATTTTGGAGACGCAGATGTGACATTTTTTATTTTTTCTTTTTATGAACATTTTTTTTTTTTTTGTTTTTTTT